GCCTATTGAGCATTATGAACCAACTCTTCGAATCATGCTCTATGATGAAGAGGCAAATTGGGAGGCCATGCGGCTAGCATTGGACTCACTTCCTGAGAGCAGGGGTAATGCCGCCTTGCGTCATGAGATTTACCGTCTGAGAATGACAAGTGCCTACAACAAAAGAGTACACGAACGACCCTTGAAAGTAGGGGATTTTGTGTTACGAAAAATGGAGACAACCAGTAGGGCCAATGAGCAAGGAAAGTTGACTCCCAATTGTGAAGGCCCCTACCAGATTTATGAAGAAGTGAGAGGTGACACCTACCGCCTGGAAACTCCGAATGGCAGGCAGCTAGCCAGAACTTGGAACGTAGACGACTTGAAAAAGTACTACTTCTGAGACTTGTAATTTTTTTTGTAAATAAAGTTTATTAATGAAAAGAAGCTTTATTTTCACATGTTTATTGCTTTCTGCATATATACTGTCTATACAATGTACAAACGGACTTGTATAAATTCTTTACGTCTGCTCCAGCATGAGTAGATAAGCTAAGTCAAATACTTAAGAGCTATTGATGAGGCCAATAACCAGATATCCTTGAAACCGTCACCTACCCCAACATGAGCAGGCCACCGGCGACGCCCATCCGGGTGAATTTGTCGAAGAGAACATCTCCCATTTGGGTGGTACATTGTTCTATAAACTATACCACAAACGGCCCTACCGATTATCTAGATTTAAGATAACTCGCAGCCGTTTGAATGATCAATTGACCTAGATATAACAGGTTATTGCTCAAAGGCAATACAAACAATAACTATTATCTTAGTTGGATATAACTGGTCATTGTTCATAAGCAATACAAACAGTTATCATAATTAAAGATTTACGTTAAGTTAAAACCTTAGCAGCTAAAACATAACTTTGTTATGACACCTACCCACGGTCAATGGTCGTTTGCTATTAGACAATTGGCAAAGACTGATTAACCCAAGGGGTAAGTCACAGCCGGTTGACTCGAAAAATCAAAGTTGGAACCCAGGCGCCATAGAGAAAGCCGCCTGTTATTCTAACTTAGAACTAAATATTGAGAATTGATTCAGAGACGGATCAATGGCTGCTTAACGTTCATCCGGATGCTTATTGGACAACTGCTCGCTTGGGTTGGGACAATTACCAAGCAAACACCTGTCCAGGGGCAAAATACACCTGCTGCAGCCGGTAAGCCGCATGTATTCGGCTACTTAATAAAAATTCTCATGCATTCGGATACTTAACAAAAATTGCAATAATAAGAGTTGAAAAATTGAAGCAAAATTTGGCAAACACCGACACAGTCGGTAGAACATGTCACTAAAAAACCGACCAAGAGGCCTGGAGAGTAATTGTTAACCAGGTCCACATCTGGTGAAAAGAGATATAAAAATACACGGCGCGCAGGCCGGAAATACATGCAGCTGAATTACTGAACCTGGGGTGAAGGCGCATCCTTTGCAGGCGAAACTGGGGCAGAGGTCTCCTGGTCCTCCTTATGATCTTCCCCTTCTTCTTCAGAGTCCGCCTCCTCCTCGACGGCTGCGGCTTCCTTCTTAACCATTCCTGGAATGGCTCTGGTTCCGGCTGGTTTTCCTCCTTGGCCAAGATAGCAAGATTTGCATATTTGTAGCCAAGCTCCTAGGTGCTGTAATCTGCCTCTGGACTTAGGAGGGATCAGACCATCTTCATGCGGTTCTCGCAGTCGTGCTCATTCTCCTCGATGAGTCGGCTCTGCTCAGCCTCCTGCGTGGCCTTGAAATTTTTCTCAGAGGCGGCCTTTTCCTTCAACAGGCGGTCATTGTTTGTTTTCAAAGAGGTGTTCTCCTTCTTGGTGTCCTCTAAGGACTTGAGAGAATCCTCTTTCTTTTTGAGCTCGAGCTCAGCGTTATCAACTGTCGCCTTCATATTGAAGATTTTTGTGTTGGCCTCATCGAGGGATTTTTGAAGCCGCTTGATAGATTCCGCCTGTTGCAAAAGCTCAGACTTAGTCTCGAGGTCATGAATAATCATTTTGTACTGAGCAAAATCAGACGTGTCGAGAGCGACTCTTTTTGCCCGCCTTACCTCTTCCTGTTTCCGGGCAGACGGCTTTTTCAGCCCCTCCACCCGCAGCATCATCTGTACATTAAAAGTGTTAAATTGAAACCGGCAAATACTAAGAAGTTATTAAAACTGAAAGTGAAACATTCATACCTCAGACAGCTGGGCCAGGATGCGGTGAACATTGAACGCATGTATACCCGGGATGGCCTCCTTGTCTTCCTTGGAGATGGCCTTCAGCAAGGCCCGGGAAAATTGTTGTACATCCGGCAACCGAGGAGACAGATCTGCACCAGAAAGAGATGGTGAGAAAGCAACATAACTGCCTCCAATCGATTGCCGGCTGCCAAAGGAACCTTCTGACTGAAGACGAGAATGTGACTTGACCCACATGGGCCAGCCAAGCTCAAGGGAGTTGAAGAATTCAGCAGTACCTTGGTGAGGCAGCTGAAGGCTCAAATCGCCTCCAGCCCTAGGAGGCGGGACACCAGACGGCGCCGCAGCAGCATCCGGCTGGGAGGAAAGGTCTACGCGTAATTGTAGACTCTTTCCTCCAACGGACATCCGGGAAGCCGTTTGAGCAGACGAGGTCTTCTTGGATTTGTTGCCAGAAGTCTCCTCACCAGACCTCGGTCTGATGACCCTGGAAAGGGATCTAGGAGCCCTGTCTCCCTCCTAGAAAACAAGTCAGAAATTAGGCATAAAGCTGGGACCAGGCACAAACTATACAAACAGTTTATCACCGTCTGTACACATAGAAATAAAGCAACAAATTGGAAGTTGGTTCAGGCGGTTAATACCTTGTTTTTAGCCACTTGTGCGGCTCTCTTCTTCTCCGCATTATCCCTGCGGATGTCTGCGGCGGACTTAGTAGGCGTTTTGTGGACAGGAAGCATGTTTAATAATGCAATTTCTGCAAAAGAAAACTGTATGTTAGATCATCAAGCAAGAAAAAACATAAGTTACAAAAGATATTGACAATAAAACATAGCCGAAAAAATAATCTACATACGTCTGTCAAATTGGGTGCTCAACCCACAGGCGGACAAAAACGTCTCGTCCCTCAAAAACTCATGTTTAGGTACCTAGTTTTTGGGTACACTAATTAATTCTCCGGTTGAGAGAGCGGTGGTTATAAGTTCAAAAAACCCCGCCTCTATTATTTTTTCATAATCCTCATCCGGGATTTGAGGTAACTTGCACTTCTGCCCCAGCAGGTCTGGTTTCCGGTTGTATGTGCGAAGTTCAAAGTTTTCTCGCTTAGTAGGGGCAGAAACCAGGTAGAAGCGGTTTTTCAAGTCTGACCACTTAGACGGTTTGTCTAGGATCATCAGGTATTTTGGGTAGGTGGTTAAGGTGTACCATGCCCTCCACCCGCCTGGACTTCGGCTTAGATAGTACATCTTGGCAAAGGCTTCCTAACCGGGATGAAGACCTTGCATCTCGCAGGCGACAATGTAGCCCTAGATGTTAACCCAGGAGTTTGGGGTTAACTGCCACACGCCTAGGCCATATCCTCTAAGGATAGCCTTTATTGCATTGTGAAGGGGGAAGCGGAGCCCAGCTAAAAATGCCGCCTCATAGCAGCCGAAAAATTTATTGGTGTTGGGCTGGTCGTCATTCCAGGCTATGGTCCCCAACTCAGGCGGCACCCGGATGGTATATCCCACTCCCAGAGGACGCTTGAGTTTAATCGTCTCCAGGTGCCTCTCCATATTTGCCCTTTCTTTGGCTGAAATATGGATTTGAAGTGGATCCCCTTTATTATTCCATGTTGGTCTCTCCTCTTCCTCACTATCCACATCCGGAATTAGAGGGCTGCTGGAGGCTACGGAGTCAGACCCAGAGGCGGATTCACTCCCGTCTCTCTCAGTGGCAATCACATCCGCCTCCTCCTGACCAGATATGGAGGCGGTCCCTTCTCCGTCTCCATATTCGGACTCTAGAATCCCATCGCTGGGTGTGCTGGGTGTGCCCATGGAGGATCAACTTGCCATCTCAGCCTGATCTCCCTCAGGCTGCTTTTCTTCGGTGCTCTCCTCCTTATACTCTGGATCTACAGCCGTCTTCCTAGTCCTAGCCATAGTATCCTGCACAGAAACGGAGACGATTGGATTGGGAGATGAGCAAGAGTGATCCAGGCACCCAGAGGCGGCTCCCCCAGTTCTAGACTCAGCTGTCCTAGGGGACCAGCCGCCCACTAAACTATGTTGTGCCGTATGTGCTATTGGTGAATTCATTAATGGAGTAAAATGTACAAAAACGGAAATATATGAAAAAGTTGAGATGAGGTGCAACGGTACCTATGAGATAAGCTGCAAAGTAGTCAAGCGGTGACCGGCTGAACTAACAGGCGGGAACTGAACAATTGCTTGCAAGAAGGATCAGACGGGTAACCGGTTGTGCCCACTTGAAATGCCAAAGCTTGCTTGAAGGGTACACAAGCGGTTCTAGAATAGATAACCGGATGTACCCCTTGGAAAAAGAATAACTGTTTGCAAACTACCCAGACAGTGTACCGGCTATGAGTAGTGAAATGAAAGCAACTACTTGCAAGGTATACAGGCAGTTGTCAGAGTTTATCTCTCTAAAAACGGACGTCTCTCTCTAAGTTTTGGAAATGTCCAAAAAAGGAAGGGGTAAAAATCTATTTATAGAAGGGTAACAAAAGAGGATCTTTTATTTATTCAAATGAACACATTTTAAAGTTCAATTAAACTTTAAAAATGACTATAAATGGCAATCATTTTTTCAATACATGCTTACATACCATATTATTTTTTAGCTATCATCCAACTATTTGGAATTTAACGGCTCAAATTTTACATGTATGCATCATGACTAAATCGTACTTATTTTTTCATGGTATGCTTAGGTTACTAATGTGATCATCCATGGGTTGCGAATTCACCATTGTCGATCCCAACCAGCAGGCTCGGTTATGGGACCTGGTGCAAAGTTGTTGCCAATGAGCAAAATGGACGGGGATGCCATTAGAATGCTTGGCTCAACAAAGGTGTGGATAGACCACAACACCCTTTATAGGAGCAAAGATGGCCTCATCGATGTAACCCTTGGCTCAACCAACATTACCATCTCCAACAATTGGTTTCGCGACCACAATAAGGTCATGCTACTAGGCCATGATGATGATTTCAAGGATGACAAGAACATGAAGGTCACGGTTGTCTACAACCGATTTGGCCCCAACTGCCACCAGCGTATGCCAAGGTCTAGCTAATTTTTATTCTTCTTTGGTGATCATTGCAACTATTATTGTTACTTTTAGGGTGCATTCTAAAAATTGTGGTATGGTTGTGCAGAGTTCGTCATGGTTATGCTCATGTAGCTAATAACTATATCTAGGATGGGAAGTTTACGCTATAGGAGGAAGCATGAGCCCTAGCATAAAGAGCGAATCTAATCTCTTTGTCGCGCCTAACTCTGGATCGAAACAGCTAAATTCTTTTGCTCCATTAGATTGGTTTATATTAGACATACAAAAATCAAGTTTGTTGTCAACTTTAAACATATTACCTAAGCGGAAGAGTTTATAGTTTTTTTTTTCTTTTATTACAGGTTTTAATAAACATGAATGGCAAGAATACTGGAAAAGGGATATTGAACTTTAAATCAGTGGGAGATGTCTTAGAAAATGGAGCTTCTTTCAATGAAATTGGTTTGGGTTTCGTAAAACCAAACTACAACAATGAACAAAGATTTCCCGTCGAAAGTGGTAGGATTGCAAGACAACTTACAAGATCAGCTGGGGCTCTACGTTGCCAAAGAGGATCAAACTGCTAATTTAAATAGATCCAATTGATTATGTAATTTTTGTTATATGATCATGAAGATCGTCTAAGTTTCACTACAAAATCATGTTATATGATCATGAGAATCTTTCGTATGAGGGTGTTTATTAAGTCAGTGTATGTTAATATGGGTGATCAACATGTATGATATATCAAATATTAATTTAATCAATAAAATTTCGATCCCATAATATTTTTCCTTGTAATTGTCCTTAATATTCTCAAATTTCATTTAATTTTTATATTTTAATTGAGATATTATGATAGGTTTACCTTAGCTTAGGAGTCTAGTCTAATGCATAAATTTGATGGAATCTTTTTATATAGAGGCAAAAAACAAATCTAGAGTTATAGGGTTTGTGCATTACCTTGTATAATTATGTGACTAATGAAGATTAGAATGGAAGTAAATTGAGTTTCTCTTCTATTAAGAATAACAGAAATCGGTGGGTACATCTACATACGCATCACATGCCTTTGGCCGAGCCCGGCTAGCACAAGTGTGTGGTTACTAGAGCCTTCCCTAGTTCCCTGTAGACCCCTAGTCCTCTAACAAATCTTAGTAGAAGGTTGGACATTACAAAATGGGTGAAAGACTGAAAGCTCTTGTACTCTATATTATCTAATTAAATATGAAATATTACTACAAAATCAAGTGAAATAATCAACAATTTAAGGGTGGTTTCTTAATAAATACTTCTTATATTCTACTCCCTCCGTTCCCTTTTGTTTGTCACTTTTGCTATTTTGATTGCTCCTAAATATTTGTCATATTTCATATTTTCATAATTATTAAGATACATAAAAAGACTTTTATACCCTCATTTTTTTGTCCTTATTAAGTCCTCTTCCCATTTTACCCTAACATTTGCCATAAAAAATTTGCCCAACTTTTGACTAATTTAATGCTTTACACTCTTGAATATCTCATTTTCTCTTTTTCATGTACTTTAATTATTTTCTTAATTGAAAATGTCTCTTTCCCATGCACTCTTTATACTTTATTAGTTGATACTTTCATTTTTTCATATACTTTTATTACCTCACATTCTCCACCTTAATTCCCGTGATTTTCCTTCAAAAGTGACAAACAAAAGGGGACGAAGGAAGTATTAGGGTGTTTAATAAAATGTATGAGATAACTAATCATATACAATATACAAATTTTTACAAAAAAACTGTGTTTTACCAAAAGTAAGTTAATAAATTGTAGTTTGTAAAATGGCTAACAATGTTTAGACCATATATAGAAGTAATTGCATGCTATGGATTTATAATTTAAAACAGAATGCCTTTCAGAATGATCGAAATAGTTCTCTTTTATGAATCAATGTAAAAATTACTCAACAAAAATGTACATTAGAGAGAGCGACAATTGGAAGCTATAAAATCGATTTATTTTCAAGATGATACATGTAGTCTAGTTTACATGCCTGGTCATTATCTCAGTGTAAACTAGAATAACCATGCTCTCTGATACTGGTAGATGTAATAATGGATGTTTTGTAGCTCTGTTCCCTTTCTTTGATTTGCTGAGGTATGTGTTCTTCCTCATATATCCTACTTAAGTTATACTACGTATATATTTATTATAAAATAAAGCAAAGATCAATTTTTGGCAAAGTTGTATATCTGTAACAATCATTGTTTAAATATTTTAATTCTAGTTTCAAAGTGTTGTGATGCTACTAGTAAAAGATCAATTTCTTCCACTTATTTTGGAGTATGTCAATAAATTTGATTAGTACTATATAGATTCTCATATTTGGAGAAAATCCTTGCCCCACGAGACATTCTAAGAAAAGGAATTCGATATAAGATTGGAAATGGAATGGATATATATTTTTGGATTGATAATTGGACCACCAATCATTGCTTACTTGAACTCTTCGTATGGAGCCAAATCAAGTTGACTTAAACACAAAAATGTCAGACTTCATACTCCCCAACAAACAATGGGTTAGACAAAAGCTATGCTCCTTCCTCCCAAACAATATTGTTTCTCAAATGTTATGAATTCTGATACCAAGTAGCACGATGCTAGATATGTCGGTATGGGGTCTCACTTCGTCAGGCAATTTTACAGTAAAATCTGCCACATGGCTTGCCCATAATCTCGATCTTGATTAGTTATCTCATACATTTTATTAAATATTTCTCCTAAGCTCCAAATTTTCTTGTGGCAAATTCTTCATAATAGTCTAAGAGTTCGTGATATCCTTCGCAAAAGAAACATAATTCATTCTAGTGACTGTGGTTGATCTATGTAATGTTAATTTTATTTTTATTTTTATTTTATTTTTTTTGGTAAAAAAAGTAAGACACATGAAAGAGATTAGCTACGTCTTCTCGCAAAACCGTGACCTAATCTATCAAGGAGTAAAAATTAAGAAAATTTACTATGTAGAAATGGATCTATATCTTGATGAGTTGGAGTTGAATAGCCGAGAGAGGCAACATAATTTGCTGCCTGATATCTATGTAATGTTCATAGGGAAACAATGAACCATCACTTTCTCTCTTGCATACATTCTAGTGATGTTTGGGACCATACCTTGGTTAAGAATTGGTTGGATTGCACAGTTCCCGGCACTGATTTAGTTGAAGCAATTTTATGCTTACACACAACTTATATTACTATTAGGAAATTTATCCTCCTTGTTTGGAGTATTAGGAAAGAGCGTAACTCTATAATTTTCCGCCAAGAACCTTTTGATATCCCTAGAATTAACCACCGAGCAGAATTTGCGTTCAATGAGTGGCACTAAAGAATTCTCACTGATACCTTTTCTTCCTTAGGGTCTCCTATTTGGAGATCCTCATCTACTCCTCCGTCTCATTCTCCAACAAATTTCTACGAACTCGATTTTCACGATTCAGTACTCAACTACTCAACAGCAGCAGAGATCCTCATCAAAGACAGCAGTAAGACAGTTTTAGGAGCTCGTGCTTTCAACCTCGGCACCACCAAGGTTGGTTTTCATAACAGAGGTCATGGCTCTTTATAAAGACATTTTTCTAGCTCTTAAGCATGGGATCAAAAATTGAAGGTAATAATCTTTTAGTAAATAAGTTCGTTAAAGGCATTTAGTCAACACCATGGCAACAAATTAATCATATTTTTAAAGACATTTGTTCTCTTCTTGGCAAATACGATAACTGGAGCATTCGTGATGTCTTTCAGGAGGCAAATCAAGCAACGGACTAAATAGCAAATGTTGGTCATTTAGTTAGTGATAATATTGAAATATAATCAAATATTGAAAAATAATCAAAACAAGTTAGAAGACGGACCTAAGCTGGTTATAAGTACCCAATAGAGCATTTGTACATCATAAATACCGTACGCTTGAGGCACACAATAGTTTTTGATTAATCATATTAAAGCTATAAAATAAATCTTTTTTTTTCTGATAAAATAATCTACAAGACAGATTGACCAAATATTACACAAAAAAATATATCAGTCTTTTTCTCTTCTATTTTCCAGTAGAATTTCCAAACCTGAGCAAAACCACATTCGTAGAGTATATTCCTATCTTAAGTAAAGAAAACGAGAATGAATAGTACTATAAACAGAACAACCAAGAACAATATCATCATTAACTGGCCCTTGGCTCCTGCCTTTTTCATAACAATTGCGACCTTTTTCTGCGAGGGAAATCAAAGGTAGTAGAAGCACAGTTGGATTTGTTAGGTGTCAATTTTGAGTACCTAATACAGTATATACTAAAAAATTTACATACATATCTGAAGTGAATACCTGAAGGAAATCCAACCGGTTTGAGGTGCTATCCATTTCAACACCCAAATCATCAATTATCTTTTCCTGCAGCAGGAGAAAAAGGCAATAATATGACTAAGAGTTTGCACAATCAAACTCAGAGCACGAGGCTCGCTGCAAGTCACGAAGACAACTCTGAACAACACTGATTCATTCCAAATTCACACTATGAAGTATACTAACCTGAGCAAGTAATTCATCATGAATAGTAAGCCCAACACTTCCAATTCTCTGAACACTGGCACTCAGTTCATCAAGCTCTTCATCCTGTTGTCTACATAAAACAAAGGTCAATATGACTAAATGATTTAGACAACACAAAAACAATTGTCGCCACATATTTTATTAATCGTGATAGAGGCAAAAGATCAAAATTCTGAAATTGTAGCTTTTAATACATATACTACTTCCAGAAAGAAGCATATGAATTATATAATCAAAGATTGAAGAAGCAAGAAAACCAAAAACTACACCTCCCTCTCTTCTACTCAATTAGACATAAAAATATGTGACGAAATAAAAAATAAAATTAATAATAAATAAATAAGAAGAATCATTGACTATAACTCCCTCTACCCTTAACCAGAAAGAGAGTACAAGCTGGGAGATCCATAATAGCAAGTAGGAATTGAGCTTCAATTGGTGTCCAAATACAAGTCAGATGGATTCATACATCAAGTGAACTAGAAAATTTGTTCAGCATATGAGTGATTGTAAATAAAAGTGTGAAATCAGATTACTGGCCACAATACGTATTGTAAAATAAAAATGTAAAGTACTGTATACTAAAACACCTATGTATTGTGTAATACTTCCTCCGTTTTCTTTTACTTGCAACGATTTTTAAACATGATACCTATGCCTTCCCCATCCTGGTGTTAGATTTTTTTTTTTTTGAAACATGTTAGAATTTTATTTAATAAAGTCGTTTGTGGCATACACATGATACCTAGCACCGGGGTAAAAGTAACGTCTGGCATACGTCCCCACAATTAGAAAAGTCTTCTCCTAGCCCAAAATGAACAGATAAGTTGTCTAAGCTTGATCCCAACTAATAACTTAAGTGAACAACAGTATTCACACCCTATGATGTGGTAATCTTTGTGATGTTTAAGAAAAGAAAAATGGACAATTGGGTCTGGTTAGATTCGTTTCGATGAAAATTTCATAATATCTACTTTTCTATAGTTTTTAATTGTAGATAATTGAAGATTTTTAAGGTAAAAGCAGTGTGTTGGGATGTGTGAACTCCAGTTGTTGCAATTAAATAAGAACGGAGGAAGTATTATTTAGTACAACCTGCCAGAGCATATAAATTAAAAGCTCAGTTTTCCAATGGGTGTCCATAATTGGTAAGCACATCAGCTTCTCAAATTAAACCAATATAACATAAGTGAACACTGACCAAAACAGATCAACTTACAGGCCAGATACAGAAACACAAATGCCATACATAATGAAAGAGAAATAAAAACAATTCATAGCCACATTGCTAAATAATACAAACAAGTAATGACAGGTGAAAAATATAACAATTCTCAAGGAAATGAAGGTGTTACTTTATCAGAAGCATCTGTCTATCGGATTCTGATGATATGTAGTCATCAGTGTGGTGCCCGTATTGGTTGGACCTTTCTGTCTGATGTGGGTGTTCCATTGGAAGCCTCATCAGTTCCAGGTGAGAATCATGGTAGCTCAGCTCCTTTCCAGATGATACTTTTTTCTTCACAGAGCCCACCTAACAAACATCCCAATGGCTTTGGTCAGTCAAACAAGTTGCCTATATCCTCCCAAAGAGACACAAAATATACAAATTGTGCAGATTGTTCATCAGAAGATTCAGAACTTAATCATACCAAAGCACATGTAAATTACAATTATGCTTTATCAGATAATGTCAATGTGTCAATGGAAGCTATAACAAAAGAATTCTAGCTCATTTTAACCCCAAGAAAAAGACACTTATCAACCACCCAATATCATTAATATCTAAACCTTGCCAAAATAAATAATTTGATGCCTCATAAATGCATGAAAATTTCCATAGTACATTATGAATGAGTAAAAGGGTAAATCTAAACTGCAGTTCAGGAGCTAGCATAATATCATCAGTGATAACATCTAGACAATTCCTTACAGTTTTGAAACCACCATAGAACATCACCTAATAGCCTCTAAATACAACTCCTTGCAGCTGTTAGTTGAGGTGGTGTGAGAACAAATCAACGCACAATTGCACAGCCCTTCACATCTAAAACAGCAAATTATTCCTTCTAGCTTTATCCCATAGAAAAGCAAATGTCCTATAAACTTGATGTATTATTATTTAGCACAGATTCAAATAAACACGCATTGCCACCTCTTGCTTTATTTAAAGAAGAATACGTAATGAACCCGCCATATAAGGGCTATAATTGGAATTAAACACTATTAAACACCAACAACAAAGCGTTAGAACGCTATTTTGAAAATAAAGAAAAATAAATAATGAACCAATGTAAGGAGAGAAATAAGAATCCAAAACTTGAAGAATTATCATAATTTGGTATAGCCTTTGAGAGTAAAACAACTTGTAAGCTTCTGTTTGTCATATGTTTTTGTTTTTGTTTTTTTTTTTTTTTTTTTTTGAAGAAAGTCATATAATTTTGTAAAATCACTTAATCATTTCCTACTTGTAATCATCATTTAAGGTGTCCATCCTATTATTGATTATAACTAAACAATAAAATGAAAGCAAGGGAAATGACAGTCTTAAACAATTGGGTAGTTAATAGCATTTCTTTGTGGGAGAGCTTTTTTTTTTTTTTTTTTTTTTTTTTTTTTTTTTGTGAATGCTGTGAGAGCAATTCTTTATGGGAGAGAATAGTATATTAACCATTTAATAAAAACATTGCCATCAGGTGCTGCACATTTTTTTTCCAGCTGTACAAATATTTGAGTGACAATCAGTAACTTCCGAAAGCAGTTGATCTTTTTGTAACTTAATCAATTCCCAGTAACTAAATTCTCTTTTTCTAACAGAGTGAGAGGCTGGCTACCACTATAATTAATTGTTTAGTATCCTGTAAAAGATTATACAGGAGGTATTAGCTAATTGGGAATATGTTCTGAAGTACATGAGGAATTTACTATTTCAAAGACAAAGGGAATTTCAAAGAATTCAAAGATTCAGAAAAGAAGTTCACGGAACCCAATAATCTCTTTAAATGGATTATAAGTTCAATTTCAGTATTTCACAATGTCACTGCTTTTCAAAAAAATTCAGATGAACCGACTGAACAAGCCTTTTTAAAGTTCCTTACTATCTGGAAAATCCCCATTAACAGTCATCACGCAACAACATAAACACTAAAACTAGTAGATTCAGAGCAGTCATTTCAAAATCCTTTTTTTCTTTTAACACTTTTCAATCATTCATATGATCTGAAACTGATTGCATATTAAAAAGTGTTTAAATATCTCTAACAGATTGACATCAATTATGAACATGAATCTTGCTGATATTCCTTTGTTTGTCAAGTAGCAAAGTCATATCCAGAATTACAAAATATATCTATATTTCAGCATGAATATACCAGTTATACCCACCAAGAAAGTGTCTGAATAGAGGGGGAAAAAAATAGAGAGAGAGAATGAAACAAAACAGAAAAGCCAAAAAAGATTTTATAGCAGCCAAATGCAGTTAACATAGCAATGCTGATTACATACAATTTTATTTCAAGCTAAACAGTACCTGATCACGTGCTGTTCTGGTCCATCTGCGACGTTTTTCCAGCTCACCCTCATCGATACCATAGTGAGCAGGATCTTTCGCAGCCACAGAAACTGCTTTGTCCAGCTCATCAACCTTCCTATCAAAAATAACCTTTTAGTCCAGTACATAGCTGTTTAAGGGGGATCAAGATAGGGCCAATCAGACATTAAAAAATAAATAAAAGTTAACAAATTAAGGCAAGAGATACAGGAGAGAAGTAGACAGGGCAACAGTAGCAAATCACGTTAAATAAATGTACAAATACAGTGAAGAGTGATTTAAGAATGCTCCTGCTTAATTCTTAACAGCTTACGACAATGGGGGTTAACAAGGAAAAGAAAAATATGAATGTAAAACCTCTCCACCATTAGAACCTTTAAAAAATTAAAATGGTTACGCAAATAATAGAGTTTTAAGTTTTACATAAGCAAACATGGACAAGAAGACTTGAACTATATATCCACCTAAGAACCTCAGATTTTTCCAATTAAATTCTACTTCAGGACTCCACTATATGTTTGTTTCATCCAATCATTCCTTATTTGACTTATTCCATACTTCATACAATATAATTTCAGAAAAGTTAGAAATAAATTAAAACAAGTACTAAAAAAAAAAGGTTTTTTCAGCAATTTCATACAACATCACACCTAGATAAGACATTTTCAGTTTCTGACAAAATAAGTTCTTTGCAAGCAAAACACCTTATAACAATTGCACCAAAAAAAAAAAAAAAAAAATTAACTTAAAACAAAATAAGTTAAACATATAAGACAATTTTAGACACTACAAGTACAAATAAAAAAAGTTCTGAATTTTAAACAAAATAAGCTGAACAAAACTGAGCTTAATTTTATTAGGAAAGTGCCGATTTGACATTACATCACTTGAACCATCTATATAGCACAAGGAGACATGTCATCCAGCTTCACACCAACTATTCAACACGAGATTGTATTCATTATCCTGCTTGTCGTAAAGGGATCACTAGTGAGTGTCAAGTTTTGTACACAGCATTTTAGGGGTTTATAATATTGTTTCAGATTTTCCATTAGCAGTTCTACTGCAGATTGGAACATCCTGACTTAGCAACTGGTAGTGGAAACTGTGAAGCAGGATAAAATATTGGATATGTCCGATCCTGACTTAGCAATTGGTAGTGGAAACTGTGAAGCAGGATTTCCCATTAGCATTTTAGGTATTTAGAATTGTGACAAATACTTGATAAAATACTGGATATGTCCGATCATCCTATGTAGATATATCCGTAGTAGTTTAGCTGAAACAGAAATAGAGAACTCTATCATTATAAATTGGTGCTTTTAATGGAAGTTGAAGAACAGGTTGAGAGTTATATATGCACTAGTTAACGGATGATTCTCATTAACTACTGCACAAACTAATCCGAATTCAATAACTATCTTAAAACATAGCACATCTACAAAAATAAGGAGCTCAATTCTACCAACCTAATAAACAAATCCAAATTAATTTCATAATCACAAAAAATCTTCAAAAGGAGCAAAAGTATTCATCAAATTACCTGCCACTCAATACTCTCACAACCAGTACGAAGCTCCTCGGTGAGGCGTACTTGCTCTCCGGAACCATAAACAGCATGCTCCCATTGACGAAAGCTCGATAATAGCTTATCAATCTAACATAACACAAAAATTCTTTTGTCAGTGTATCAAAACATAAGCAGAATTATCAAAGGATTATCCGGATTAGAAAACGCGAAAATTAACAAAAATTTACACTAATCAAAACCTAAATAACACTGATCAATGCGTGATTTAGTCATACATATCGAAACCGAAAAAATCAATGTATCAACAAAATAATCAAATACAAACAATGCGCATAATTGAATCATTTATAGCAAGAACTTAAATTAAATTTATAAATTTATGATCAATTGAAGCAGTAAACTTACGGAATCTTGGATCTCCTCTTTTACAATGTAAAATGGATCTTGAGCGGAGGACATGAAGAAACCAAGTGGTGTAGATTCCAATTGCAAGCTAAGAATTGACAAGCTAGATTGAAATCAAAAGCAATTTGATTAGGTTATGAAACACAAAAATTAACTCGATCGGAATTCATTTAGGTATGACAATGTTAAATTCAATGCAAAAGAGGAATTTAAAAATTGAGATTGAAGATGAAAGAATTAATAGATGTAATTTGAGGAAGAACCTGAAATTTTTTGGGTGCACTTCTTCTTTCGGAGTTCGAAAGGTCTGGTGCTTGTCTGAGTCTCTGGGAGAGAGATTGATTCGAGCCTTAGGAATCTAGCAAGTTTTAGGGAAATATACGAGTATCACTTTTTTTGTTTTTTAACTGTTTCGGTATAGACTCTAGAGATACACAGCTATATATGTACTCTCATTTCGAAACCTTCACCTAATTTTTGAACTCTCCCTTGAAAGAAAGGGCACTATCTCTCGAGAAAAAGGGCAATCTTCTACCTCTCGAAATAGAATCGCTGCCGGATTTTGGCGTGACTACCGATCACTATCTCTTTCTCCACTGTTTCGATGGCAGAGGAAATCACTGCTAAATGTTTTTCAGGAAGAGGAGGGAAAAGCAATTGATTTGGGGGCGATAAACCCTGGCGCAGAGGAAAATAATTTTTCGCTGATGCTTGTTGGTAAATTGCTCACACAACGTTCTTATAACATTGATGCTTTTAAGAAAACTATGACTACTGTTTGGGCACCTAGCCATGGAGTAGTAATTAGGGTCCTTAGCCCTAACTTATTTGCATTCCAGTTTTTTCATTGGCATGACATGGAGAAAGTCTTGAACGGTCGACCTTGGTGTTTTGATAACCTGTTGGTTCTTTTGAAAGAAGTACGTGGATGGTGATGAACAGCCTGAGCAGATAAACCTAACCCATTCGCCATTTTGGGTGAGGATTAAAAACCTACCTTTTAATTGCAAGTCAGATGACCATGTTCGAGCAATTGTTGGGGGTATGGGTGAGGTGCTGGAGATTGAAGATGATATCATTGGTATAGGGCGATACCGTCATGTCAAATTGCTACTTGACATTACTCTACCTCTAAGACGTTTCCAGATGATCAAAGGCAGGAAAGGGAGGGAGCTTAGAGTTGACTTTGCTTATGGAAGGCTCCCTTTCTTCTGTTTTACATGTGGTGTTATGGGATATTCTGAGGAGGATTGTCGTGTGGTGCCAGAAGAAGATAAAGAAGAGAAACTAGGCTAGGGCTTAGGCCTAAAAGCAATTCCTAGGAAGGGGAGGGCAAAGGAAATGGAGGAGGCGGAAAAGATCAAAGCGAAGAAAACTATTCTGTTTGTGAACAAACCTGCTGAAGAGGTTCACCAGGAAAGTCATGACATAGAGATCCCCAACAAATCCTTGGTGCTAGTAGAAAAGGAGCAGGTAGCAGCCCCTAATGATACTCCTGCTCATTTATTAGAATGCTCCCCTCATGATGACAACGCCCTTACTCTTGGGACAACAACTCAGAGGCTTAACTCTGAACGTTTCAATGAGGATTTGTTTGACTTTACTCTCTCTTTTAACATTGGCGCCCACGTGACAGAAGCAAATCAGAATTTGAAGGCTCTGAAAAAGTCTTGCAAGATAGTGAAAGTTGCTAGAAATAAAGAGTTAAAGCACAAGGCAGACACTTCTCCAAATCAGCATAAACGGAGCTTATTACCACAAACAATAGTAGATTTGCAGAATGAAGATGATCAAGGGAAACGACCAAAACATGACTTGACTGTTAATATGGACACTGACATTTCGGCGGAGGTTGGCATGAACCAACCCCACCATGTCCAATGAGTATCCTTTGTTGGAACTGTCGGGGGATGAGCAACTCCGGGTCAGTTCGTCAGCTTCATTGGTGGAGCAATTCTTTTGCCCCCGACATCATCTTCTTGTCGGAAACAATGATTAAGAAGAACAGGTAGAAAATCTGAAGGAACGACTTGGTTTTCCTAGTGCTTTTGGCGTTGCAAGTAGAGGCAAAGCTGGTGGTCTATGTTTGTATTAGAGGAATGGAATTGATTTCACTTTGGTTTCTTTTTCCCATAACCGCATATGTGGTGACATTACCCGTAGCAATGTGAAATGAAGGTTCGTGGGTGTCTATGGCTGGCCGGAGGAGGAAGATAAACACAAGACATGGAGTCTCATTCGACATCTCTGTGATGACACTAATTTTCCCGTTGTTCTCGGTGGAGATTTTAATGAAATCCTTACTTATGCAGAAAAGGAGGGAGGTGTGGATAGGGAGCATCGTAAGATTCCTAATTTTCGTGAGGCTATTGATGATTGCAGTCTGCGTGATTTGGGTTATAAGGGTCAATGGTACACTTGGGAAAGAGGAAACTCAGTTGAAACTCGGGTCCGTGAACGCCTTGACCGTTTTCTTGCTTCTCATGATTAGGTGACTATGTTTCCGAGTTACACTGTTGAACATATTATGAGATACAAATCAGATTAACAACCATTTATTGTGTGAAAATCCGTCGAGGAAGAGGAAAAAAGGAAGGAGTTTAAGTTTGAAACTTGTTAGCTCCTTGATGAGGGATGTGAGCAAGCTGTTATGAAGGCCTGAGAAAGCTCAGAGGGGAGGATGACAGTTGATAGAATCGTTGCTATGGATAGAGGCTTAGCTACTTAGAGTGCAGAAAATTTTTATAAATTAGAAAAGAAGCTGGCTGAGAAGGAGAAAGAATTACACGAGGCTCAACAATCTGGTATTTCGGGGGATAATATTAAGGAATGTGCTGCTCTTGAAAAAGCCCTTGATGATTTGAATGAAAAGCTTGAAGCATACTGGTACATTAGAAGCCGAGTTTTGGAGGTTAGAGATGGGGACAAGAACACATCATATTTCCATCACAAGGCATCTCAAAGGAAGAACAAAAATCGAATTGATGGTCTCCTTGACAGTTAAGGCTCGTGGCATGCTGACGAAGATGGTATTGAGCGTACAATTACTCATCATTTTAAGGAGTTATTCATCACTTTGGATAACCCTTCAAATGACTGCATTCAGGAGGCGCTTCATAATGTGGGACCACTGGTCTCGCCAGAGGCTAATGATGAACTGTTGAGGCCTTTCATGAGAGATGAAATTTTACAAGCGCCAAAACAAATGCACCCTTGCAAGGCTCCCGGGCCGGATGGATTACATGCGATTTTTTATCAGCGCTTTTGGCACATTGACGGTGATGAGGTAACACACTTCGTCATTAACATTTTACATGGTATCTCTTCATCAGAATGTGTTAATAATACCAATATTGTCTTGATCCCGAAAGTCCAGACCCTAATAATACGGCTGAATTTCGACCTATTGCTCTTTGTAATATGCTTTACAAAATTGTTTCAAAAGCAATCGTTATGTGACTAAAAAATGTCCTCCCTCATATTATTTCTGAGAATCAGAGTGCATATGTTCCCGGTCGACTCATTACTGATAATGCTTTAATTGCTCTGGAGCTATTTCATACTATGAAGAAAAGGAGTAAAGGGAGGAAGGGTTTGTTGCTCTGAAACTAGATATGAGTAAAGCTTATGACAAGGGTCGAATTGGGCTTTCTGTGTAAATTGCTTCTCACTATGGGTTTTGATCGCCGTTGGGTGAATTTAATAATGGACTGTGTATCTACTGTCTCTTATTCCTTCGTTATTAACGGAGGAGTATGTGGCTCAGTTACCCCTACACGGGGCCTCCGACAAGGGGATCCTCTTTCCCCTTATCTCTTTATTCTGGTAGCTGATGTTTTCTCTAGAATGTTGCAGAATAAAGTTCGAGATAATAAGCTTCATGGTGCTAAAGCTAGTCAGAATGGGCCACAAGTGTCACATCTTTTATTTGCAGATGACAGTCTCCTCTTTGCTAGAGCCAATCGACAAGAATGCTCACTAATCGTAGATATTCTCAACCAATATGAAGCAGCATCCGGGCAGAAAATTAATTATGACAAGTCGGAGGTTTCTTTTAGCAAAGGGGTAAGTATGGAGCAAAAAGAAGAATTGATGAGTCTTTTGAATATGCGACTGGTTGATGAGCATGGAATATCTCGGAATTCCTACAATAATTGGGAGATCAAAGAAGAAGATTTTTAGCGCTCTGATTGACAGAATTTGGAAGAAATTGTAGGGTTGGAAATAATTTTTTTTATCAAGAGCAGGAAAGGAGGTCCTTCTTGAATCTGTAATTCAAGCTATTCCAACGTATTTAATGGGGGTATATAAATTTCCTGTTTCAGTCATTAATAGCATCCACTCGGTAATGGCAAGATTTTGGTGGGGGAGTCGTGATTTGCAACGTAAGATCCAATGGAAAAGTTGGGATGTAATATGTTCACCCAAGTGTCTTGGCGAATGGGTTTTAGGGACCTCTCTGTGTTCAATAATGCTCTCCTTGGTCGTCATGGCGCTTAGTTAAGGCTCCAGATTCCCTTCTAGGATGGGTGATGAAAGCCAAATACTATCCGCATTGTGATTTTCTTGAAGCTTCGTTGGGATACTCTTGTAGTTTCTCTTGGAAAAGTATTTGGAGTTCGAAAGCCTTGATTAAAGAGAGAACGATTTGAAGAGTGGGCAATGGTGACTCAATTAATGTTTGGCAAGACCCGTGGCTTACGGATGAGAATGGTCGCTTTATAACTAGCGAGATGGTGCCTGGTATTAACTCTATAATTGACCTTATAGAGGTGGAACACATGGAGTGGAGGAAAGACTTCATTAAGGAGAACTTCAATTCAAGGGATATGCACTGCATTCTTGCAATACCAATCAGTTCATGTGGGCAAAGAGATGAGCTTACCTAGGCTATCTCAAAAGATGGAAATTATTCTGTCAAAATATCATATCTTTTGGGTAAAGGTTGTAACTTGGATAGTTTTCATCAAGCTTGGGTGGAAATCTGGGGGATGGATGTGAGCCCGAAAGTGAGGCATTTTTTCTGGCGCTTATGCACTAAAACTCTTCATACTCGATCGTTGCTAAAGAGACGCCACTTAATCAAGTCTGCAAATTGCCCATGGTGTGGGTTAGAGGAGGAAACAACGGGGCATGCTATTTTTAGCTGTTTTCGGGTGCAAGAATTGTGGTAGGACACCTATTGTACTGCTATGGTGAACTGGGAGGCTGGAGGATCAATGAGAGACCTTGTGGCTAGTCGGAAGGCAGTTGATACTAAGAGCCAACAATGAGGTATGTATTTAGCTTGGTGTATTTGGGGAGAGCGTAACCTGAAAGTCTTTGAGGATCGCTCTACCCCAAACAATGTCTTGATCAGTCATGTCTATCAACTTGTAGATGAGTATGGGAAGTATGCTCATTATATTTACAAGAACACTCTGCCTCGCCTAGCTGCAAGCCCAAAAAAAATGGTGCGCCCCACCTGATGGCAGCATTTAAATCAATGCTGATGCTTCGTTGAGTGACAAGGGATGGATCGGGCTTGGTTCAATTGCTAGAGATCATAATGGTTTTTTTTCTATTTGCAGCCTCTAGGAGGGTTAAGGCCTACTGGCCACCAAAAGTGGCTGAAGCTAAGGCAATTGACATGGCCTTGCGTTTGGGGAGCAGGTATGGAGTGGAGAATGTGGTTTTGGAGTCAGACTTCCAATTGCTTATTAATCGTCTTTCGAAAGGCTCGATCTACTTTAATAATCTTGATACTGTGCTAGGAGATATCTTTTCGTTGTGTACTCATTTTAATTCTGTCGTTTGGTCCCATGTTATGAGAGATGGCAACTATGTAGCTCATCATGTTGCTAAGCTAGTTCCTTTTGGAGTCGAGCAAGTCTGGGAAAATCATTATCCCCATGATATTGCTCCATATGTACTCGTGGATAGTTTATCTCGTAATTAATACTAGCTTCCGTTTCTTTCAAAAAAAAAAAGATACATACCCGTGTGCTATAGGACATCATTTAGGAGGAAGTATTGCCCATTACCTGGTATTGGGTTCCCTTGCCCAATACCTCAATAAAATAATATTTCTGCAAATTAAAAAAAGGCAAATGTTTTTAGAATATGTAAAAGAAATAAGGATAGGGTAAAAAAAAATAGATACACTTGGTAAGTGTATTGCCTCTATCCCCCGAAAAATCTCCTGGCAACGGGGTGTAAAAGGAGAGAAAGAAATTATGAGGCAACCTACTGTGGACTGCGGTGAACAATCTTATTGAAGCTCCGACAAAAATTCCCGAAGCGGCGGTTGAATTCGA